AAAAACCCCCCCCCCCCCCCCCCCCCCCGGCCTTCCTCCCAATGCGGCACCAACGTGCGGCTCTATATGGGAGAAACAAAAATACCAGTCAGTCACCATCCACAAGTGTGCTGTGGGCGGTGCTGCTGCGTATCTGCGTATCTAGACCCTCTCTCTCTCTCTCTCTCTCTCTCTCTCTCTCTCTCTCTCTCTCTCTCTCTCTCGTCGTCGTTGTTGTTGTCGCTGTTACCGTATCCCGTCATCACGGCAAGCCGCCGTTGGTGCTGGAGCTGCCGTTGGGCGTAAAGTCCGTGGCCTTGTCCGTCACCCAGCCGAGGGTGGAGAAGAAGTCGTACATCTGGCACAAACAACGAACACCACCAATCCTATGATGTCAGGACTTGGTTGATTTACCCTTGAGCAACACCAAAAAACGTCAGGAATCCCAAGAGTGACGCAAGGCGCAGAGAGTGTCCACTGCACTCAACAACATCGACATTGCTGGCAAGCAAGCGTGCAGAGCAGTTGAGCTTGCGGGTGAATCTAGGCAAGAAAAACAGGAAGGGGCGCGCAGAGGGGAGTTGGGCTACCATACATGCCATACATGCCACGAGTCTGAGTCACCGGCGCACCCTCCTCTCCCACAGAAACGTGCAAGCGCGGAAAAGATCGGAAAAGTAAAATGAGCTTCAACAAACGCGACGTACCAGACAACACACACAGCGCGCCAGCCCGACACGACAAAACTGGAAGGGGAACAAAACCTGAACAAAAATGTGTCTGGATCCCATGTGCCAAGCTGTCCAAAAATATGTATGCAGCTTTCGTCGTTAACTTGTCGGGATGGGATGGAGCACGGCGTGAACGGCAAAACAAAAAAGTATCTCTCACATAACACAACACAATGTGGTGTGAAATCCAACACGAGGTGGCACCACAAGGATGGAATCGAATGAATCTAACTGCCCCGCCAAGCAGGGGGTCGTGCCCAGGCGTCCCCGTGGAATGCATGCCACAAGACACGCACAACGCAACGCAAGTAGATAGAGGTACCTTGGGTGGTACAGAACATGTGCATGCGCATGTGCACTATACTACGTCCGGGTACCTCGAGAGTGCCAAGTGCTAACTACCGTAGGTGACGTGATGTAAGATATCACCCCCCCTGGACCGATTTTCAAAGCTCGATTACTCCGCAGGAAAAGCAGGGACGGTGCCCAAAATGGCGACGTTGCAACCGTCTCGTCTAGAGCTTTCTGAAAACGCATCATTTGGTGTTGACATGTTCTTCGTCGTGGAGTATTTGAGATTTGGAAATCGGTCCAGGGGGTGTGATATCTTATGCAACCTACGGTAAGGGTTCAAGTTGTTTTTTTTCTCTCTCTCGCTACCGCAATGTACATACCTTATTGAGGCGAGGAGTGTCCAACACGGCCAGGTCAGGGAGGCGCTTCTTCTTGAGGCAGCCGGCTCGGGCACACTCCTGGATCATGGCGTTCTGGACAACAACATCGAAGAATGAACAACAGACACGGGCAAGAGGGGGTACAGGGGTACAGCGAGGGAGGAGCACAAGATGATGTGCAACCGCAAGATAAGTCCAGATCGAATACGTGTACAGTACGGCTGGGATATGGTTTCAATCAGGGGGAGAGGGAGAGGGGGAGGGGGAGGAAGGCAAGGCAAGGCAAGGCGAGGCAACCACGGACAGAAAGACACACAAGAGTACAAAAAGAGCAATAGCTTGGCAACATCAACAACCGCAGCAGCAACAACAACGTCGACGACAAGAACGACAGCTGCATGAAATGCAATCCCATGTTACCTTGATGACGAGGTAGTACCCGGGCAGCAGATGCAGCTGCGAGCAAAGCACACGCTCCGCCGGGGACAGGTACTCCACCCCCGGGGCCCCGCTGATGTCCAGGAGGTTATCGTTGTTAGCTTCTCCTCCGCCGTCGCCTCCACCATCCTGCGAAACCCACAGAAAAAAAAAAAGAAGCGAAATTCACATCAGCCGAAGCAACCATCGATTGGTGTCGATCACGCCGTTGCTCGTGCTTGTGTCGACCGCGTTCTTCACACCCAGCTGCAGGTACATGCCTCATGCCTCATGCCTCATGCCTCATGCCTCTGTGTGTATCGTCGGGATTCCCGCGCTACAGCACTACGCCGTGCATAAGGCACCGCATCAATGGCTATTTGTGGATGCGCAGGCACCGGCTGACACGGACCAGCAGGGCCGTGAGCGGTTGTAGGTATAACCAGCGCAGCAAGCGCTATATGTTCTACTAACATGCTGCAGTGCTACTTCTCCACGTCATGCACAATGTGTCACCATCATTGCCGTCCACTCAAAGAGAAAATGTTCCTGAGAGGGAAAAACTATATCCAATAGCATCCAGCTTTTGGCGAATCTTGAACAAGCCGGCGGTATATCGCAGTCATACCCATAAAAATGGGCCCTACAACATGAACGAGCGGTTTTCAAGCGCACCTTTTGCCTGTTGCTGCAACGGTAGTTGCGGTCCCGTATGTTCCGGATGTTGGCCTTGCTCGAGGTGCTGCTGCCGCCTTGTCCCACCCCCTCGTAGAGATAGGAGGCAGACTCGCGGTGCTTCTTTGAAGCCAGCTGCGGCAAGCGACGTGCGCGTGTTATTAATGCTAGCATCGACCCCGCTAGCCGACTGACCAATGAAGTGACGCCAGTCTCTTCAGTGCGGTCGAAACCAGAAAATCGTTCTAAAGGCCATGTTCTGGGACCCCCGTGTGTGTGTGTGTGGGGGGGGGGGGGTGTACTCATAGTCGTGCATGCCGTAGTCGTTAGACCATTGACCTCGCATCCCTACATCCCTACACAGCCGGGACGGAGCACGCCGGGTTCTCACCGGACCAGGCTCTCACACCACCAAGCGCGAAGCACCGTGAGGTATTCGGCGAGTCGCATGAAGGGTGAGCTGCATCCTGCTAAGGGTGTTCGGCATCTTGTGCTTACTTCCTTGCGTACGCATGACAGCGGCGTATGACTTAATTTATTTTCTAGTGCGTTCACTTCCAGAGACAGTTATAAGCACTGTGTAGCTGCCTCGAGGATCCTTGACCAATTTAAAACGTGGTGCGATCATCCCCCGTTGCGCGGAGTGAGGGTTCTCCACCCCGCACAACATGATCTACTCGACCACCATTATGATCACCGCCAAAAAAAAAAACAGAGGTAAAATAAAAAACGGTAACCTGGTTGCCGAGTTCACGAAGTGAGTTGGCTTCTTTTACAACGTCGTTGCCAAGCGACGAAAACCCAATCCCGATGGCAAACACCGGGGGCGGCGGCTTGTTTTACAACGTCGTTGCCAAGCGACGAAAACCCAACCCCGATGGCAAACACCGGGGGCGGCGGCTTGTTTTACAACGTCGTTGCCAAGCGACGAAAACCCAACCCCGATGGCAAACACCGGGGGGGGGGGGTGAAATCGTCATCATCACCCATGATGGTAATCGTCATCATCACCAATGATGGTAATCGTCATCATCACCCATGATGGTAATGTTGTGTTCAGACCGACAAACGCCGCCCCCCTCTTTCCCTCCTACAACAAGATCAGAATGGAATACGTATGTGGCCCCCAACACACAGCGAGCAGACACCAATGCTATCAATCTCATGCATGAGCAGTGCATGGAATGGCATGGCATGGTTAAGTTCCCACCTCTTCCTGCCCCTTCTTCGACTGCGAAGTCCCCAACACACTAAAATATAGGAGTAGACAACCATACACATCAATGCCACTCATGCCGTTGGATAGCACGGCACGTCCAAACTCACACCCACCTCTTCCTGCCGCTTCTTCTTTGCGATCTCGAACTCGGCGCCTTCGGCGAGGGTAGTGATGCCGTTCTGCCTGTACACCTGCAGCTGCTCTATCCTCATCCTTCAACACGTCGCAAAAAAAACAGACAGAAGAAGAGTGACACAGGGCAGGGTCAGAGTAGAAACCATCGGCCATGTATACACGGATCTGCCCTGGGCGCAAGCTGGTCCATCCTCATCCTTACATACGCCAACAAGAACAGACCGAACAAAACAAGAATCAGACCGGATCAGCCCAGAAAGCATCGGTCATGCAAACACGGATTCGTCCTGTAAACATACACCGGATTTTACCAAGTGTACTTGTGAATAGCCGTGCCGGTCCCGATGTCTCCTCGTGTTGGTCTGATCGATGGGCGACAACATCCGGACACGTCAAAGCTTACCTAAACAAAAACAAAAAGGCCACGGTTTGCTACCGTCGACATGTTGGACATTGATACAATACACCATGGAAATGGATCCATAGATACGTACCGCATCTTCTTGGCGAGGAGGAGGTTGTCGATGAGCTCCTCGTGGTCCGCGGGTGTGCTGAATCTCGCCAAGGGTCGGAGCTTCGCGATCAGTTCGCGGTCATCCTTTAAAAAAAAAAAAAAAGGAACAGCACACGACACAACTCTATTATAGTTACGACTAGTCGAATCAAAGCACACATGGACACATGGCAGGGCTTGTACAAGAAAAAAAAGACGCGCCCACCACCGTACAGAGTGACGTCACGTCGCGATAACGAGGCGAAAAGGAGCACACAGCACAACTCTCATTAGTCCAATCAAAGCACACATGGCACGACGTGCTAAAACAAAAGGTTTTCCAATCAAAGCAAACAATACAGGACGTGAGAAAAAACGACAAGACTCTTCGGTGTGTCGGCCCCGGTGCTTTGTTTCCGGAGTTTTTTTTCCTTTGTTGCACAACAAAAATGAAAAATCGCCCACTGCTGTATGGAACTGCAACCGCTTTCCAACAAACACGCTCGGGTCCAGAGGCGATGCCGCGCCTTTGCATGCCGCCACTCATGGTGCCCTAGGGTTGAAACGAAGCAATGAATGAAATAAACAACAAAAACACAGGCCGTCCCAAGCTTCCTCCACCCTACAAGCAGCACATGTCGCACACACACGGAGCCGCTCGAAAGCAGCAAATCATGACCCGACTAATAAGTACACCCGTCCACGAGGCATGCTTGAAGAAACACCTTGTGTCTCTTGCGGCCGGCGCTGTTGTTCTGCTGCTGCTTCTTGTAGTCCAGGAGGTTGTGTTCGATCACGAACCGCTTGCGCTTCTCCCTCTCGTCGAGGCGATGGTTGTACACCGCGATCACGTCTAGCTTGAGTTGTCTCTCGCTCGCGTGATCGGTGGGACGGAACTCCATGTTCGCCAGCAGCTGGACGTGACAACAGCAACATGGATGGTAAACCAGGGTCGCAAACAAAACAGGTTGACGGGGAACGTAAGCAACTTGCTCAAGTGTTTGGCAACAGGGTGTCTCAACGACGGCAGAAGAAATATCAACCAACACCAGCAAAATCATCACCATCATCATCATCATCATCATCATCATCATCATCATCATCATCATCATCATCATCATCATCATCATCATCATCATCACCATCATCATCATCATCATCACCATCATCATCATCATCAACCACCACCACACCAAAAACAACCACCACAACAACAAAAACAACCACCACAACAACGAAGGCAATGAGCAAGGTAAGGCAGGGCAAGGCAGGGCAAGGGAAGGCAAGGCGAGCCCCCTCACCTCCTCCGCCGCGTTGTCGTGCTCGTGGTCAAAGTCCCCCCTTAGGGGCAAGAACACCGAAAGGTCGGCTCCTGGAAGCTTGTCTGCCCACTCCTTGATCAGGCGCTCCTCTTCCTTCACCTTGCTCTTCAAACGAAACATCAACATCAAGACAAAGACGAAAGGTAAGACAACGGCAAGACAAGCCTTGCTCTTCAAACACAACACAAAGACCAGTACCCACCACAAACATCAAGACAAAACAACGGCAAGACAACGGCAAGGGCAAGTAACAAACAACAGCTCGAGTATATCGTTGAACACACAGCCAGTGATAGTGATGGGGGTTGAGGTGAGCATTGACATTTCCACGACAAC